ACAATCATTTGGAGAGGTTTTTAAGGCTTTACGAGAGACTGTTTGGCACTGAGTGAACTTGACGGATGGAGGGTATATATTTAGTCCAAATTTATTACCTATGAGGAAGACATTACTTAAAGTTCCAGATACGGGTATTTCAAGCCATTTCCGTACGAATTTATTAACTACAAATAATAATAATAATAATAATAATAATAATAATAATAATAATAATAATAATAATAATAATAATAATAATAATACTAAAATTCTCGGTCAACTACATCTGGCGCACCGTTGTTCGTTTTGGCTTCCGTCGGCCAGAATTCTTCGCGCTGAGAAAGGAACGCCAGCCCGTTCAACCATCGGCATTTGGGGTGGAGCTCAGCTGCGTGCAGACCACAGCTGCCTTCGTCAGCTACATTGAGACGGCCGGGGACATGTCGCCACTGCAGTGGGTCGGTAGAATCCTAGATCTCGGATATGCGATTAGCGATGAATGTTGGATGACGACGACTTGCGCTACGAATCCATTGAAGGAATGTGCTGCTATCACTCCACAGGTGGCAGGATTTAAGGTCGTACGTGTGCTCTCTCTTAACTGTCTCCAACAGGCGGACACACATCACGGCAGCTTACAATTCGAGCTTTGGAATGCTCAGTTGTCGGAGGGGTGCAACTCTGGTTTTCCCCATCACGAAGCGACACTGGATAGATCCATCTTGATACAGGAACCTGAAGCAGACCACTGCACAGAAGGCCTCAACCGAGGTGTCGCCGAAGACGTGGACTTGAATGATGGTCGGGCTGCTGGCCATCGCTCGATAGAATCTCGGGTGTTCGAACGCAGCCAAGTCTGGTAATTCGTCTAGCCATTCTTTAAACGGGGCTAGTTCGTCCCGACTGATTTCCTCGTCCCAACCTCTTTTGGCACACCATAGACTCTGGAGGAATATTTTCGACCTGAGGATGTGTGGTCGCTGATTTTTGGGTTGGGTTCTTGAAAACGAAAGAATCCAATTCTGTGAATGTTCGACGAGGAGTTCGTCGTTAAGGTCGAGTCCTTTTAAAGAAGGAGAAAGTTCACTTTCTGGTATACGGGCCAGCACGTCGCGTGAGCTGCTGCACCATTTCGTTAGGCGGAAGCCGCCCCTTGACAGCAACTCGGCTAGTTAATTAGTTAAAGCATTTATTTAACCACGATAATTAAATACAGACAGAGCTGATAGGGTCGTGGGTTACATAATTATCTATCTATAGTTAAATTATACTAATAAGTTCTATTTAAACATTGAATCGCGTAATTCTAATCTAGTTATACAATAAGAAAATTGTTTGTAACTTTCTATTTCTCTTGTCTCATTGTTCAAATTGTTCCATAAAATTGGTCCTTTATAGCTAATAGACTTTTTCATAATTTCATAATTTTTCATAATTTCTGTCCTTGCTTTCGGTAAAGACAAACAATTTCTTTCTCCTAAATTATACCCACAAAAACGTTTTACAAAGAAATCAGCTATAGCCGCAGGAACGACTTAAGGTTCTTGTGGGTCTGTACTGCTGTGTTCTCGTCCTCTTCGGACTTGAAGAGATCGTCCATGTAGAATTTTTCCTGACCGTTTCTGCAGCTGCAGGAAATTCGTCAGAGCTATCCTTTGCTGTTTGGCGCAATACATAGTTCGCAGAAGTCGGCGATGACTTCGCTCCGAATAAGTGACGACGAAACTGATAGACAACGGGCTGCAAACTACGGTCTTCTCTCCACAGGAAACGGAGAACGTTTGGTCTTCTTCGGGGACGGCAACTTGGGAGAACATCGATTCTATATCTGCAGACAAAGCGACTCGTTCCTCGCGGTAACGCATCAGCACCCCGACGAGGAAATTTAACAGATCAGGTCCGGTCAGCAGATGGTCGTTTAGAGGTACACCTCTGAAGGGAGAAGCGGCGTTGAAGACTCTTCGCACTTTGCCTGGTTTGTTTGGGTTGAGGACTGGGTGGTGAGGAAGGAACCACTGCTGTTTGACGGGGGCAGCTGCTTCTTCCGGTGTTAGTTTCTTTGCATACCCTTCCTATAAGTCATTATCAATTGTTCATTTTTCAGCGAAAGCGAGGTGTTTATCTTTGCCCAGTATTTTTTCCAGAGCGAGCAGCTGTTTCTCGGCTACGAAACGGTTGTTGGGCAACGTCGCGTTCACTTCCTTCCACAGTAGACCCGATTGATAACGGCCATCAACCTTCTTCGTTGTCGACTCAAGGATTTCCAAGGCTCGTTTGTCCTTGATTGCTCTGGGCAATTCCTCGGCGTATTTGCAGCCAAACGACTCCATTTTCCACCATTTTTGGACTTGGAGTCGAAGGTCCTCATCAGGCGTTGTTACGTGAACCTTCATTGTATGGTCTGACCCTTCTAGTCTGTGGTCAGGTAAGTGCGATGTCGCTGTCCAACCGAGGGCCGTCCGTACTGCTCGAGGAGCGGCTTTAGGACCGGTGCGTACCTCCAGAGGGACGATGAGGTCGAATACGTCAGCTCCAAGGAGAACTGTAACACAATTCCCATCGATGGGTGGCAGGGGAAGATCAACAAGATGTGGCCATGCATCTTGTCTTTTCTTTAGGCATATCAACATTCACCTTCGGTAAGTTCAGTCTCTCGACGGTTCTCGCTTGGTCAACCGTCCGTCTTTGATTGGGATTCTGCGAGGGGCTGATGTCAAAGTTGACTTTCTTGGAAAAGATGGAACTACGATGTTGAATGCCGTTTAACATCGTTTTCTCCGTAGGACCATCCAAACCAAGTTCGTTAGCAATATCGTTTTGAATTAGAGAACAAGTGCTCCCTAAATCTAACATTGCATAAGTTTTCACGGTCTTGGCCGGCCAGTGAAGCGTTACCGGGACAACTTGAAGGAGAACTTGTGATGGGCGCTGGGATACGAAGATTTAACATGTTGGTTGGCGTAGCTCCTTTTCCGAAGACTTGTTTTGCTAGGTGGACTAGTTCGTGATGCTTCTTTTGACAGCCATCGACACCACAAGATTTCTGCGATTTTCCGCGTATACGATGACCACTTTTCAGGCAACGAAAGCAAAGGTTCTTCTCTTTGACAGCTTCGGCTCGTTCGTCGGGGGTAAGGGACCGCTCATTATTTATTGTACAGGGGGGGATTGAAGAGAAACTGGGGGGGGGGGGGTTAAATTTTTTAAAA